AACATTGTAAATGGCTTCTTTGCTATAGACATCATGCTTACCTTCTTTGTTGCATATCTTGATCGTAAATCCTATCTTTTGATTGATGACCCGAAGAAAATTGCAACCAGGTTAGCATTATTCTTCATCTAGCGAGTTAACTTTTAACATCGAGTAAGAACTTTGGTTCCTCTAGCTGTTATAAGATGAGATAAACTTATCCAAGTCCACAGGTACATCTCTTCCTGGTTCGTCTTTGATGTTTGCTCAACAGTCCCATTTCAACAACTCAGTTTGCTCTTTACAGCTCGTGGTAATGGCCTTGAATTCAGAGTACTAAACATGCTCCGACTATGGCGCCTTCGAAGGGTCAGCTCCCTGTTTGCAAGGTTTGCGTCATTTCCCTGTATTAAATATTCAAAGACCAATAAAAAAACCCACGGCTAATTCTTCACTTTATTTCCTCAGACTGGAGAAGGATATCCGGTTCAATTATTTCTGGACCCGATGCATAAAACTTATCTTGGTAAGCCTCAGCATTACCTTCCCTTGAGAATTATCAGCATAGGTAGCCACAAATCTGTATAACTTTTCCCTGACTCGGTTGCAGGTAACTCTTTTTGCAGTACATTGTGCTGGGTGCTTCAACTATTTGATTGCTGACAGATACCCAAATCCATCGAGAACATGGATTGGTGTAAAGATTCCAAATTTTAGAGAAGCAAGTTTGTGGATCAGATATGTAACATCAATTTACTGGTCCATAACAACACTCACAACTACTGGATATGGAGACTTACATGCTGAGAATCCACGAGAAATGTTATTTGACATTTTCTACATGTTGTTTGACCTGGGATTGACGGCATACATCATTGGAAACATGACAAACCTAGTTGTCCATGGAACCAGCCGCACAAGAAACTTTGTAAGTTTCCTACTATTCTTAGCAAGAAACTTGATTATGTCCGCGTACTTGTCTCTTTTGCATGAACGTGATGAGTACTCAAAATAAATTATTACTTAAATAAGCTAAAACAATGGCCTGAAGGTTTTTTTGGTGTTAAGTGGGTTTCTAATCTCCATCCATTTTTCTTACCTTTACATTCATTCTACAGAGGGATACAGTCCAGGCTGCATCTGAATTTGTGGCACGAAATCAGTTACCTCAGCATGTAAAAGACCAAATGTTATCTCACATATGCCTAAGGTTCAAGACGGAGGGGCTCAAGCAGCAAGAAACCATGAACGGTCTTCCAAAGGGCATTCGTTCAAGCATAGCTCAGTATCTATTCTTTCCCATAGTTCAACAAGTCTATCTTTTCCAGGGAGTTTCCTATGATTTCACTTTCCAACTAGTAAGGCTCTAGTAAACAATCAAATATGTCATTCCTTCAAATTTTAAGAGACCTTTACCACTATTGCTTATTCTGTGCTGATTCCAACTAGGTAACAGAAATGCAAGCCGAGTATTTTCCACCGAAGGAAGATGTAATTCTGCAGAATGAAGCTCCTACGGATCTTTATATATTAGTATCAGGGGCAGTGGTTAGTACAATTTATCTATCTACGACTGTTGCAAAACTGATTATGGGGTATATCCACTGGCTGATTAAACTTTATTGTCACAGGAGTTAAGGACACATGCTGATGGAATCGAACAAGTAAGACTTATTGCCATTACACACACATGAAACCTCAAATATAAACATACATACATGAATAGAAATAGAGCTAGGAGGATTGCCAATTATAATTCAACATAACTATATTGTGTTGTGGACACATACGCAAACTAGTCAACTTGCATAATGAGTCATTGGTAACTCCTAGATGAACTGTGAAAGAAATTTTTTGTTAACTAACAATTTCAATACTAACAACACAAAGTTAAGAAAGTTGTTATAAATAAAGCTTGCGCCTGAATCAGAATCCATCATGCGCTGCCATAACAGATATAGGAAAACGCTTATGGAGATGGCAGTTTTTTAAAGTATCCTTTCCAATGATTTGTTATGGTGTTGTTCGACAATACAATAGACAATAAGATGCAGTATAATAAGTTTGAACGTGAGTTAGCAATAATCAATGGTGATAAATAGTCAGAAGTAAACTTTCATTGAACACTAGGCATAGGAACCATGTTACTCATTTTTTAATAAATAATGACAAATGCTAAAATCCAGATATTACTGGGCCCCAGACAGAAGTCATAGTGGAAATTAGCTAGTTGTATGGATATATTGACTTCTGTCCAACACATGTATGTTATAGGCAGAGTATATATGTAAGCCCAGTATCCCGGCACCATATAATGGAAATGAGAATACTGTTTGCTTTGTATCAAAACTGGATCTCGAAAAAAATAGACCCCATTTCCTCATAGCATCAGTTAGTTCTATATCACTTACTAGTAATGTGTACCAGAATGTCTTTTCTTGAGCACTATATGTCCAGTTATGAAAAATATGACAAGGGAACATGGAAATCACTATCAGAAAATATATAAGACTCTATTTTGACTATTAAAGTCATTTCTATTAGAACTGTTCTTACTACATGGCTGCAATGGTTATTTCATTAACAGAGTTCAGAAAAGGGATCGATGGTCATTGTCATAAAATAACAATACTAGTAAACCATGATCAAGCAAAAAGGTCAATATAAAGCATGTAGGATAATAATGAAAAAAATCCCACATTTCATGTCCTGAAATAGGGCAGAAGTAATAAAAAAATTAATCAATTATATCCATTTTATGTCGTCCCTAGATGTAATCATATCTTTCAAACTCGACTAGTTTTGCTCGTTGGGAATATACATCAAATAGGCGACATTTTAAGAGCAAAGTCAATAGAAAATAGTGTCTCTTATTTTCTATAGTTGGAAATCTAAAGACTTCATTTCTATTTTGACCATTTGATCCTACATTTAAGGTAAAATTCAACCAGACAACTAACCAAAAGAAATTGAAGCTGATAACTCTTGACTCAACATATGGACTTACCTTTCCACGTGACTGAGCACATATAAAATGAGGTCAAAATAAAGCATGACGTATCATCTAACTCACTGAAATCTAGGTTCATGGAAGGGCGTCCTCTGGAGAAGTATTTGGTGAAGTAGGGGTTTTATGCTACAAGCCACAGCCATTCACTGTTCGGACCACAGAACTGTCACAAATCTTGAGGCTGAGCAGGACAACACTAATGAACATTATTCAAGAGAATAAAGAGGATGGAAACATTGTCATGAACAACTTGTTCCAGGTAATCCAGATTCGACTGTCATAATTAACCAAATCAGAGTGCATAATCAGTTTTCTTATCTTTGGGCAGAAATAGGAGCTGATGCTTCTGTGCACAATTTTACAGAAGCTGGAATTGCATGAAAATTCATTCCCCAGAGTGCGGCATAAAGATATACAATTAATCCTCAACGAATTGTCCAGCAGTGAAATAAATAGCAACCAACTTTACTCAACGCAGCATGAGGACAATTATCAGGAAGAATCCATTCTAGAAACAATGGAGAGAGGAACCCTACTATGTAGAGCAGTAACAAATACTGATCTGAATACAGTACGAGAGCTTCTAAGATGTGCAGCTGATGCAAACTTAACAGATGCATATGGCCGAACAGCCCTACATACAGCAGTTCAAAGAGGCCATATTGGCCTAATTAAAATGCTGCTGGAACATGGAGCAGATATGCACAAACAGGATCCTCATGGATGGACACCAAAAGCCATCACACAGGAACATGGGAAAGAAGAAATTGGTGAACTACTATCAAATTATGAAAATAGAAAGAGGTTATTTGGAGATGACCAAATGCAAACAGTTAACAGTCGTAGAAACAGTCTAAGCCAGAGCAACTGGGAATGGAACACACCTTTCAGATACCCAAAGCATGCTGACAGTGAAAGCCATTCAGTAGATAGCAAAGCTAAGAAATTGTATAACAGAAGAGTCGCCATTCATATTCATCCTGGAAAGTCAAAACAACCATCAGAGCAGTTTGGGAAGTTAATAAATTTACCTGGTTCTATCCAAGAGCTCCTCAGGATTGGTGGTAAGTACTAGTTAATCTTATGAATAATTGAGCAGAAACCTGAAATAAATGCAAAATAATCATGATTTCAGAAATAGTGACAGTTCATACACATATATCAAGTTCAATCAAGAATTAAGCAGATAAGTAAAATGAAACTACGAAGGTGGTTTACGTCCTACTTTCACCAGCATCACTATAACAGTCCATTCATTTTATGCTCATGTACTTGCAGGTCAGAAGTTTGTAGGGTGTAATCCTACAAAAGTAGTCAATCAAGAGAATGCAGAAGTAGATGACCTTTCTGTTGTTCGAGATGGAGATCATCTGTTTCTCCTCGATGAGTGAGAATGAGTCAACACCAAGCAGGACAAAGATGATAATCATTCAAAAGCTACAACGGACAACATAAAAAATCACAGATAGTGACTTAATCATGTCACACTCTTCACACAAGAGTAGTACAGAAATTGTAACATTTTTGTAATTATTTCACTACACTTCCAGCAATTACTGGAAATTCATTATCAGTTACATCTGACTCTTCTTGATAAACACATTGAGATTCTTTCTCTTGGAAACCTTAACTAGAGGAAATAGTCTACTCTTTCTTTGTATCGGCGGACTAATAAAATATCTGCCATATCAATAATTACTGGCAGCTCTACCTCAAAGGATGATACATAAAAGAACTTGTGTATGATTACAAAATGAGAAAAAGTCAAAATTGATGTTTACAGTTCTTCGGTGTTCATTAATGTAGAAAGACTCCAGATAGAATGAGAAATTTGACCAGTTGCATGAACTCCAAGCTACAAACTTGAAAAATAAGTATGAAATTCCTTTTTGCAGTGTGGAACGCTCAATTTATCTTCTGGTTCAGATAATGGGGTTTCCTTAAGCTTGTTACAAGGAGATATCCGTGTAGTCGCAGTATTAGACCTACTCTGTAGATCAGCTAAGAGGGAAAGGGTGTGCTTCTGTATTGAAAACATACTTATCCAGGGGTATGACATTGTCATCTCCAAATAACAAATACAAGTACTTCAAAGTTTCCCCCAAGAAAAATGTCTCCATCTTGTCTCTCTTATGCGGAGGCAATGTAGTGACATCATCCAGAGAACTGTAACCTCCAGAATCTATCTTTGTATATTTCTCAAAAGCCTCAAAGATCTGCCAGCCCCACTCACGATATCTGTAGATTTATCATATATATTAGAAACAAGTAAATAACACCAACAGACCGAATGCTGTTTGATTAGAAGGATTCAGTTCTTCACACACATGCGCGCGCCCGCACAAAATCACAGATACAAGGTATGTCAAAAATCACAGATGCAAGTGACTCATAAAGCTTACTTTGGATCACCAGTTATCCGATGCAATACAAATAGTGATTCCACAGTTTCAGGACGTAGAAGATTGTGGCGATCATTGCGTTTAATTATTATATCATCTATATACTCGGAGCTTTTGTTTCCACCATCTAAGCCACCTTCTGAATAACCCTGATTCAACAGGAAACGAATTGACATTTGTATTAATAGAAATAAAGAAAACTGTTGCAACATGACACGAACTAGGGAACCACTTCGAAATGTAACTAGCTTACCTCAAAATGGAAGTAAGCAATTTCAGGAGCAAGGCCAGTAGAAGTCACGGAATACATTTCATAGCATGTCTTTGCCAGATCTTCAGCAAGTTTTAAATTCTTCAAATCTTGATCACTTAGCAGACCACTTTCAATGGCTCTTCTCTTAGAAATACCTTTAGTTGCACCAAGGGCAAGAGTACCAGGAAGGAAACACACCTGCAAAGAGGATAGCATATGCATACTACATTACCATAAGAAGTAGATAAGTAAACTAGAAAGAACAAAATTATTCTAAGAAAATGGTTTCTTATGCCAAAATTTACCACCAAGGTACCAACAAGCAGAAGCATAACAAATTCATAAAACATTAGTACGACTGTTGAATAAATAACAATGTCTCTTGTCAATACAGTACTGAAATCAGGTAGAACAAGGGGGTTCATTTTGACTAGCATTAAAGGAGAAAAATATATGTACTAGGCACCACAAGCAATTTCGGGACAAGCAACAAATAAATTTTAATTTTTTAAATACATATGGCAGCATAACAAACTGTAGCTGTTGCAACTCAAACAGATCATCGAAATGGAAAATAACTTCTCCACTTAAAATAAGCATGATAGATGGAATATGAACGAATAAAAAGCAAATTTTTAAAAATGTCAAGCAGCATAAGTCATAGATTAGATTACCAATAGTTCCCATTTAATTGAAGTTGAACAAACATATGCAAGTAAAGTACCCTAACCAAATAACAAAACATTAGAGCATACTAAAACCCCATGCCCGTCCCTCACACCAACAAAGCAAATGAAAACAAAATTAATGTTAAGGAATATTTTTTTTTCCCAGACTTATCTATAACATTGACTGCAAAATGTTTGACATATTACAAGAGAGCTAAATGATTTTTCCCTCTCTTTCGCTTGTGTCTGTTCATGCAGCCATAATCTAAATATTGGGCATACCGTTATGATAATAGCAACATCACATGTAAACAAAAACTTTGACCACACGTTGATAGCCTCTGCGGTAGTAAGATGTATAACATACCAGGTGGTCCATTTTCGGGCTGAAGGAACCCTTTAGGCCATAGGGAAGCTCCCCAACAAAAACCAATCCTTTGGGCTTGGACTTTTTAACAAGAAGGTGATGGACACCTTTCATTGCTTCCTCATACATCTCATATAAATACTTGACCTGACTATTATGATTATTCTTTTGCTGAATCCAAACTTTAAGTAAATACTCATAGTAGCTGTCACCACGAGATCCCAGCCGAATATTTTCGCCATTGAACTGGCCAGTGTGAGGGCTGCATCACAAGAAACAAAAAAAATTAGTGCGTCGACATTCTTAATATACTCTGCATGAGGCAACAAAGATAAGAAACTTATATACCCTAGAAAATAGAATGCATCAAATGGTTCAAAACTTCAAATATCATCATTATACTAAGTAGAAAGGATTTTAGCATTTGTACCCTGATGTTTTTCTTGATCACATATTTCTTTTTTTGCATTATTAATACTTCTGAACTGTCCCCTCACACTTTCAACTTGTATTACCCTAGTACTGTTGAGCATCTAGCATACCACATTTAAGGTGGTAAGAGATGTAGATACCCTTTAGCAGTAATCCAAAGCTAAATCATACATAACTTGCTACTGCTCAAACTGTAACTAACCTGATTTTTTGTTTTAGATGATCCCTTCATGTTATTAATGGTAAGTACATTCAGTAGGTTCCAGTGAAATCTCTGTATCGAGACATGCACATCAAGCTTCTAACAGTTATCTTTGATAGTCATTCCATCTGCTGGTCATTTGCGTTTGGTCATTTGCTAAGAACTCGATGCGCAATGTCTGTTTCATTTAAGTGGAGATGAAACACAAAAGTTTCTTCTCTGACCAGAATAATTTTGTTTTATGATAATCCTTGTCAAAAAAAAAGAGAGAGATTCCAAGGAAACTTCATTTCAAAAACAATAGATGAACTACAACTTTTTTTCTTTTTGTTTGAAGGTAAATGTCATGTTGTAAACAAAAGACTCGCGAGTGAAGAGGAGCTTAAAGAGATCGCGTGAGAAGAAGGAGACCAACGAGGCTGCACGTAAGAAAAGGTCGACAAAACTGTTAGAAGATGAGGCCAGAAATACTATAAGCAAGAAGATGGGGCAAGAAAGATTGGATGCTAGAAGAGGAAATCGGTGTTACTGCACTAGAGAAGAGGAGGTTGACGAGACTGCGTCCAAAAGGAGGAGGTTGACAGAAGTGCACAAATGTGCAAGGATAGACAACACAGAAACAAGATTGAACCTTAAAGGATTAAATCAAGTTGGAGGTGTTGACAAGAGTAGTAGTAGTAATTAGGCATAGTATGGACTCAAACTTGGATGATCGGGAAAATACGTCCGCTGTCATTTTGGCCGAGCCCCCAAGCAAGACAGGAGGAAAATGTCAGAAGTGTGAGAAAGGTCGAAAGGATCAACAACAAGCTCTGGAGGATGTGCAAGATGAAATAAATAGTCAGTCACCTTAAGCATCTTGGGATGTTACATTTGTTCATACTGGTCAAGATTCAGGATTAAGTGTGACAAAAATTATTGTATATTTTCCACTAGGAATCAATTATCGCAGTACATATGTAAAGGATGGGTTTTCTAATATGCTGTAAAAATGTACAAAATATAAGAACTGCATAATAATAAGATACCATATTAGCATAATCCACAGAAACTGGAGAAAGATACTGAATTATATCCTTAAGATACTGAATTATATCCTTAATGCATTTTTTCTCATCAACCAAAAAAATCAGAAACATAGACTTACAAGGTCATGGGTGCTCCTGAAAACCTTACTAACTATACCATAATATAGAAGCAAAAAAATGTGTGGTGTAATACATCCTTATCACAATATATCCAATTTGAGTATCTTTTTTTCAAATTGGTCATTATTTCCCCCTTGTAGTTGTTTCCCTCTGTCAGTGTCTGGAACAGAGATAAATCCAGATTTGGATAGCAGTTATATAGATTGGGTCTCAAGATAAATGATGAAAAAAAATGAATAAATAAGCAAACAGGCATTTAATTTTCTTAAACTAAAGTTGGTGATCCAGACAAACGCAATGGTTGCAGAAATATTCCAGAGGCATCTTCCACCCTCTCAGTTATAGTGTGTAAAATCAGAGAGCAAACAGGCAAGAGGAAGTATGCCTGTTTCGAAGACAACTACAAAGACAAGGATGGTTTAAACAATGCTTTTTAGCATGTCACAACAGGTCAAGTGATTATAGTAGCTCAATGAAGAAATAAAACAATCAGACCACACTCACTTTTGACTGGAAGTTAAACTCAATAGCTCCAATCTCGACATGATTCTCATCAAAGTAAAAAATTAAAATTAAAATTAAAATTAAAAAAAGCAGATTCTATTTCCATCAAAGATAGGAATACTAACAAATCATCTAAGGACATAATTTACTAGAATTGGCATACAGATCTCCACAAACCTGATGTAGATAGGCACCAGACCTTGCACCTTGGGAAGTGTCCTTAAATGTTCAAGTGTCTTCATTGCTTCTAGCCCATACTTTGGATCACCTGATACTTTACTGAGGTAATTGAATTCAAGCTGTAACGTTGAAGCTTCTGAAGTACTACTTAAGCCGTCAGGAGCTGGATGAGCAGAACGATCGTGAAGAACAACATCACTGAAAGGAATAGATGTTGGACTGGAAGTAAAAGCAGATAAAAGACGGTTAGCCAAATCCTTAGCAATTTCTAATATAACTGTGGAGTTAATGCCCTTAGCCATTATGGGTATGTCGTTATTGGATATGGAGCTTTGGTCTCCCCCACACAAATGATAAGAACTAAGAAGGCCACCTAAAACACGTATGGTGGTTTCAAATAAATTGACCTGCCCTTTTGCGTTAATTCTTTCCATAAGGTGTTTCTCTATCCACATTCCAGCTTCAGAAATAACTTCATCAGCACCCATTATGATGGCTGTATCTAGGGAGTCCACAATAGTAGCACCGAGGCCTCCTAGACCGTCAACACCTCTTCGGCTCACAGGCATAAGCTCATCATAGCCCATTGCATACTTGCTATATCCAGACCAAGCATGGATGAATGCCTCCTTAACCTTAGCTTGCCGAGATGTCCATTCCGACCTGGAAGATAGCTTGTCTTGCTCTAGTTTGAAACTAACATTACGAACTTCATCCGGAGACAGCCTTGGTGGAAGCCTAGGTGGCTTTCTCCAAAATCTTCCAAATTTAGCACCACTTTCATGCTTATTTTCTCCACTAGAAAGACCACCAGAGAGCCCATTAGAAGCAGGACTAGATCCTCTACCCACTACCATTAAGCATGTTAACCCAACAATCATCAATAATATTAGAAACTTCCCTACAGTAAATCTTCCACAGTCATGTGTGATGCTACTTGTAGACAATGCCTGAGTAATTACCTGGGAAGAAGGGGGGAAACATATAGAATCTCAGAGTCAATGCAGCATATTTATCTATAACAATGGCTAACTAACCACCTGGAAGTCTCAAGTAACTAATGGATAAACATGAAAGGTAAATATAAAAAACAATAACAGTATCATGCCAGATAAATTTGCAAGATGAAGGGGTTAATTTAACGTGAATATCTGTGTTAAAAAAAACACAGTCTTATATTTCTCCTCGCATTACCTAGTCCTTGATCTAGATCAACAATGAAAAATGCTTCAATAGATTGCAGTAAACAACACTGTCATCGAAGAAGGGGAAAAAGCTAACAACACAAGTTCAAAAGTTTCTTTCTTAGCTGATAACTCGATTTGATCTGTTGCTACTTTATTGGCTTGAATTTTATCATTAATCAGTTGTACGCAAAAATCCACTGAACTAACAGGTAATTTTAGTTTTGCGGATTCACAGGATTACACAGATCGCCGATGCGCAAGTTCAATATCATCCCCTAAATCAAAATCAACAGCAACACCATTTTCAAAGATTCAACAACGTATACAATTCAAATATACTTACTTGGATAATAAATTAGGGCTTGTTTGGATTGAGGGGAATGAGGGTGAAGGGAAGTTTAGGGAACCATTCACCTCCATTCACCTTGTTTGGGAACACTTAGGAGGTAAAGTTAATTCACCCTAGTTCCTTTTGGTTCACCCCCTAATAGTATAAAATTTGTTACCCCCAAATTGGGGTGTAACCAAGGGGAAGGGAACTCCTTCTCTCAGTTTCCCTTAACTTCCCTTCACCCCCTACAAATCCAAACATGCCCTAAATGTTAACCATATGAGAAGATAATACAGATTCAATAGCAAATTCAAATTCTAATCAAAACAAATGATAACAGATCTGGGGACCTTGAAAGGGGATCGGTAGCGGAACTTGGCGTTGTCGTAGTCGTCGACATCCTTCATTGAGTAGGGCAGCGACTTGGACGACATGCCCACCGCTTGCGATAGAAATGAATAAATTAGGGTTTCGCGATCCTTTCTCCTTGAATTTTGCTTCTGTTGGATCGGAGAATTAGGGAAGACGAAGACGACCGCTTCGTAAATTTGGAGTCAACTCGAAGCGAAAGCCCGTATTTTTATGGGAAAATTTGCAAAATAGACCGTTTTTATAAAGTAATTAGCGAAATAGACCATTTTTTAAAGTAATTAGCAAAATAGGCCGTTTTTTGGCAAAAGAGGTCGATTTTGAAAAAGGGCTCAGAAAACATACGGTACTACTAGTCCCGTATGTTTTGTTAACAAACAGAAAATATACGGGACTAGTAGTCCCGTATATTTTCTGAGTGAGATTAAACATACGGGACTACTAGTCCCGTATATTTTCTGTTTGTTAACAAAACATACGGGACTAGTAGTCCCGTATGTTTTCTGAACCCTTTTTCAAAATCGACCTCTTTTGCCAAAAAACGGTCTATTTTGCTAATTACTTTTAAAAACGGTCTATTTCGCTAATTACTTTATAAAAACGGTCTATTTTGCAAATTTTCCCTATTTTTATCTGTACTATGTTTATGCACGTGCAATACAATGCACGTGGTTAAATGTCATGATTATGTATATTTGGTTTATATCTTTACTAAAATTTATTCTTCGGTTCCACTTTGATGATTTTTGTTTACTTATATCTCTAAACTTTAACATTATGATTACTTTACTAAAATTTATTTTTCGGTTCCACTTTGATGGTTTTTGTTTACTTATATCTCTAAACTTTAACATTATGATTATTTACTTGCTTTAATATTCGTTTAAATGAACTACGTCCAATTTAAATTTTCATATTGATAATTGAATTGATAGGAAGTAAATATAATCCAAAATCAATTTGAATTTGTTATGGTGTTCACTCACCCAAGATACGGATATTAGCAAAATGATACGACAAGAGTCCTAGCAAAACAAACTCAACCCTTTAGACGACTCCCATAGTCGTCTCTTGGCCTCAGGAGAAGGAAAGATCTGGTCAACTCTCAAGAGTTCTAGGCACAACGACTCCTCACGAATCACAAGCTCTTGGCTCTTTATCAAGGTAAGCCCAATGCACAACACATGATCGAATTCTCCAGTGCAACTCAACCATCATGGCTAATTGCAAGACATTGGTACCTCATCAAGGGATAAACCCAAGGCACAATCACAGAGACCTCGGCCCTACCAACTCATCAAACCGACACTCTGGTGTTGACAATGGAGGCGATATTGGTCGGCACGAGAGATCCTGTCATCCCAGACGAGTCGACATCTTCATATCGACTCAAGAAACGGTTATTAGCTGAGAAGAGACGACATTCCAACCAGTCGAACAGGTCGATACTCCTAAGTCAACGCGAAAGGTTGTGTCAATCAACCCTATCATCGAAGACGACCCTACTTAGGACCCTTGACCACTCACTGGCATTTCTCATAAACGACTTAAGGGACACTCCCTACTGTCGACTAAGTTGAGGACTCAACCCCGGCCTCAAGCTTCTCCTTTAGAGCATATATCGACACCTTAGTCCACCTCAAACAAGCCTTATCCAGATTTTGGTCAGATAGGTCTCCATGACTTGTCAGCTCAATCACTTCCCAGAAAATACGGAGACACAATCTCCCATAATGAAGTGACTTCCCCTCCAGTCGCCAGCCGACACCTGTAAGGTGAGGGATGATTTAGCATGCTAGCATGCCTTCTGTCACGCGCTCAATCACTTCCCAGAAAGTACGGAGACATCCTCTCCAGACCTGAAGTGATACTCTCTCCCCCAGTCACCAGCTGACACATGTAAATCGAGGGATGACTCGGCTCTTAGCCCGCACTCCAACATCGCTTCTCTAGGCCGGGATAAAGGTAACCTATCTTATCCCAATATAAAATGATTTCTTCCTGCTAACCTAGGGAGGAGAGGTCTAAGAAAAAAAGGAGGGGGGAAACACAGTTCCCTCTAGGTAGGCACATTGCCATATGAAGAACCACATCGGTTACGGACCTTCCCTTTCCCTATTCGAATTTCACTAACTTGACCGTCGGAGGAACCACAGGGGAATCGGTCCCCACCCTCTCACGGGTTCTTCTTGTCTGTGTAGTGCGGACATCAAGCCCTCGTTCCAGAACCAAGCATAAAGTCGGAGAAGGCTCCATCACCCTTCATCCCCCCACAACCATCCTCTTCTGGATTATTTGGCTGTGTGATATTTAACGTCAACAGTTTGGCGCCCATTATGGGCAACTCTTCTTTTTCGAGAAGACATGCTAAGTTCTGATCAAAGGTTTGATTCTACTCACCGTGAAGAACAACATCAGAGTTGCATCATCCAAACTAAATGAAGTCAGAAGTTGCATCATTCAAGCTAAGGAGGGTTAGCTTTGGCTAAGAGGAACTTGTTGGCCTTCTTATTTTGATGATGTTTAACAAACAATTTACTTCTAATGTTGTTTGTCTAGTGTTTGTGTTTTCGTATTTATTCTAGGAAAACAACGAGTTGGAGGATGGATGGAGTGCGCCATAACGATCATATCAAATGGAGGTTGGCGGAATAGTGGAATGAAGCATTGCTATCAAGTTAAAGATCCAATTATAAGCTTCATCCTAGTTTACCAAGTTGAGCTACAATGAAGATCAAGATCATGCTTGGGTAACATTAGTTTAGGTTTATATTATGTGTGTTGGTATTTTAAGCTCAATCATATATATACACACATTATAATGGTTTCCTTGTATATATATAGTTATATATATATACAACACAAGCTTTGTTTTTATATATACATAGTTATATATATATACACAATTTAGTTTTGGTTTCCATGTACATATAGTTTCATATATACATACATATTTTGGTTTCCAAGTTTATATAAATATGAATTTACATCTTTCATATTTATTGTTTTGGTTTTTCATGTTTAAATATGAAACAATTGAATAAAATTGGAAAATACATTTTTGTTTCATGTTTATATGCTTACATATGATTTCATCAATATCAATTTTATTTAGTTCAATGAAATCATGTTTGTTGTTTTGAAAGTTTGCAAAACAAGTGTAGGCTGTCTAAAAATCACAATAGATAGTGGATCCCCCATCAAACACCGATGATGGAAGTTACAAGCTGATGACTTCCAGAAGGCTACAATTTGAGGACTTTCACGTAGAAGGTTACAATCTGACGACCTTCATAACAACTAATGAAGGCCCCAATTCAACAGCCTTCGCAATCAACATCGGGAGTTACAATCTGACGACTCTCATATTTTCAAGGAGCCAAGACGAAGATTACAAGAGGACGATCTGTGCAAAGCTCTAGCAAAAGAGACTACAAATTGACGGTCTCTTCATATTAAAACACATATATCTCTCAAACCGTAAGGAATTTGGTGAAACGGAGGAAGCGAACCCGTCGAGATAGCCGATTTTCATATGTAATTCGTCCAATTCCGACGTACGGTTTGAAAGTTATGACCTGTTCTTCGTAGCAAGTTGTATTCTGAAGTCCGTCTGCAAGACTGGACTTCGTCAGAACATTGGACTTAGCCTGAAGCTCGCCAAGCCCGCCTAAGTTTCGCCTCTGCATTACAGAGTCAAAATGCCCAGGCTTAACTCTGCGTTTTCAACATCAAAATGCAGAGTTAATCTCTAAAATAGCACAACCGTGCGTTTTCAGCCGTTAACAGGCTCAACTCTGCGTTTTCAACATCTAAACGCAGAGTTAATCTCTAAAACAGCACAACTGTGCGTTTTCAGCCTTTAAACAGGCACAACTCTGCGTTTTCAGCCTAAAACGCAGAGTTCATCTCTAAAACAGCACAAACTGTGCGTTTTCAGCCTTTAAACAGGTCAACTGTGCGTTTCCAGGCCAACTGTGCGTTTATGGGCTCAGCTGTGCGTTTTCAGCCTCAACTGTGCGTTTTCAGCTCCAGCTGTGCGTTTTCAGCCTTAACTGTGCGTTTACGGGCCCAGCTGTGCGTTTTCAGCCTCAACTGTGCGTTTTCAGCTCCAACTGTGCGTTTATGGGCTCAACTGTGCGTTTACAGGCCAACTGTGCGTTTACGGCTCAACTGTGCGTTTATGGGCTCAACTGTGCGTTTACAGGCCCAGCTGTGCGTTTTCAGCCTCAGTGGCCCAACTGTGCGTTTACAGCACGAATTGTGCGTTTTCAGCCTAAAACATCCCAACTCTGCGTCTCAGAGTTCATCACGCTGCGCGGCCAGTGCGTTCAGCCACCAGAATAGGCCCAACTCTGCGTTTTTAGTCTAAAAACGCAGAGTTCGGGCCCTGAACGCTATTTTTCAGCGTTTGACTCGTTCAAAGCACGTAATGAACAGTTCCAGGAACTGTTTTTCCCCACGATTTGAGGGATTTTCGCCCCACTTAAGAGTGGATTAAGGGGGCAGTTACCACCCGTAATCCCCTATAAATATCAGAAACTCAACTGAGTTCGGGGCTTTTTGGCTCTGGGCTCTGGGATCCTTCTTTTTGGGCAGCAAAGGTGAGGAGAAAATCACGTTCCAGTGAATCAAGATGTTCGGATCGTCAACGAGAAGCAAACTCGACGCGAGCATTCGAGGGAGACATCTCATCGCCACCGTGAAGAACCCAGAATTAAACAAAGGGGAGAATCAAATTCATTCTCCTCTCTTTTGTAATCGGAATCCAAATTGTAATTGATTTTGAAAGGAATACAAGTCAAATTTTTCTTTCATTATTTCTTTTACTACAAATTTCCAACAAACAACAAGTATTTTTGTGAAAATATTATTTTCTTGGTATATGGACTTAACAACAATGATATACATATTCTATTAAGTCTATATATTCATTTTATAATTGTAGGCATCAAAAATTGCCTATAGGTCTCCATGAACGGCTCAGTGTTAAGGAACGACGATGAACGTCACTATCCGGTTTACAGGAGTTCGATTGATGTCAATGAACGCTTGAAGTAAATCGACGAACTACGTGAACTAACGAAGGTACGGGCTAATCGGGAGCCACGCGATGTTTACAAAAGGAACAATGCCCTTCGTGTCTCATTCATTCTACAGAAGATCCA